ATTGATTATAGAAATTTTCTGTACTGCCCAACAATCTCTTGATGCCTGTCCAGGGTCTTTATATCATCAATATTTTCTTTATTCAAAATGGGGAATTCGGAACATCCGTACCCAAAATAATGAAAGGGTTTGTCGTTTCCTTAAGCCCATGTTGTCGGTGTTCGCCTCGCACCTGCCCTGGGTTGTTCCCAAAGCTTTTTTGGTGTAGGGGTTTTAAATGGTTTTAGAATGTTCGGGGGTTAGAAGCGCACAGCTGATCGTAAACGCCAAGCCCCAAGCCCTAAGCCCCAAGCCCTAAGCCCTAAGCCCTAAGCTCTAAGCCCTAACCTGTCGACACGTCAAACTCGGGCTTCGAAACCACTTCTCCGCCGTATTCTGGCAGCTGATGAGGGAGTTCTTCACAATTTGGATTCTCTGAGGGTTTAGGGGTTTAGGTCCTGTTCACAGTATATATTCCCATAAGATACACACTACAGGAAGCCCGTTTTAGACACAACCCCCATGAGCATCGTGGACGTTCTGGTGCGCCCGCCTTGCTACTGTACAGGCAGCCGGGCCCATCTGCTTGATGTTTGACCAATGAGGACCGAGGTGGAAGAGAAACATACCAAGTCCAGAGAGCTGTACAATGTACAAACACCTTGTAAAGGTTGTGCCCTTCGAGGATTCTCAAAGCAGGCGCTCCGCTTGCAAGGACAAAGAAGACAGAGCCCCATTCTTGCCCTGGATATTCATGTCAGCCCCAGCCTTGACCAGCAAGCGAGCTACTTCCGAGCAATCGACTTTTGCGGCGTGGTGAAGAGCCGTGAACTGAGTCCTGTCCTGGAGATTCATGTCAGCTCTTGCCTCCACCAGGCAGCGAGCAACTTCCAGGTGACTGTGGGCCGCCGCAAGATGAAGAGCCGTCAGTCCCTTCTTGTCTTGGATGTTCATCTTCGCCCCTGCGTGCAACAGCACCCGAACAACTCCAACACGGTTCTGTCGCGCCGCATGATGAAGAGCCGTCTTGCGATCCCGGTCCTGGATGTTCCGGTCGACCCCTGCCTCTACGAGCCATTGAACCACTTCCACGCGCCCCTCGATAGCCGCATCATGAAGAGCTGTCCGCCCCTCTTCATCTTGGGCGTTCGCGTCAGCCCCTGCCTCCTTCAGCAAGCTAGCTGCTTCCACGTTGCTGCTTTGCGCCGCTTGATGAAAAGCTGTCACTTGCCCTCTGTCCCGGGTGTTGATGTCGGCCCTTGCCTCCACCAGCAAGCAAGTCACTTCCATGTGGTCGGCTCGCGCCGCTAGGTGAAGGGCCGTCTGCCCACTTCCGTCCTGAAGGTTCATGTCAGCATTTGCCTCCTTGAGGCAGCAAGCCATCGCAACACAGTTGATTCGCGTCGCTAGATGCAAAGCTGTTTGCCCACTTTTGTCCTGGATATTTATGTCAGCACGCGCATCCAGGAGCCAGCGGGCTACTTCCAAGCGCCCTCTGGCTGCCGCATCATGAAGAGCTGTTCGCCCCTCTTCATCTTCGTTGCGGTCAGCCCCGGCCTCCTTGAGCAAGCAAGTCGCTTCCACGTTGTTGCTTTGCGCTTGAGTAGAAGCTCTGTCTTGGCTGTTGATGTCAGCCCTTGCCGCCACCAGCAAGCGAGCCACATCCATGGAGTCACTTTGCAGTGCTCGACGGAGCGCTGTCACATGTTTGTTATCCTCGATGTTCATGTCAGCCCTGGCCTCCACGAGCAAGCGAGCAGCTTCTACGGCGTTATTTCTTACCGCCAGGTGAAGGGCTGTTTGCCCGCGTCCGTCCTGCACATTCATGCCAGCATTTGCCTGCACGAGCCAGCGAATCATTTCCGCGGCATTGACTCGCGCCTTTGGATCCGCCGCTAGATGCAAAGGTGTCTTCCAACTTGTGTCTTTGACGTTGAGGTCAACCTTGGCCTCCACAAACAAGCGAACCAGTTCGATGCGGCTTCTCGTCAGCGCACACTGTATCGGCGTGACTCCTTCCTCATCCTGTGCGTTTATGTCAGCATATGCCTGCAGGAGCAGTTCGGCAACTGTCACAGCTGCCACACGACATCGAACATAACATGCTAGCATCAGCTGAGGACTGGAAACAAAACGACGGCACTTGGACGAGGGTCGCTTCACAAATGCTGAGGGGTCCCAGCCTCTCGGTAACCAGTACCGAAGTTCATCCGCGTTGCCACGCAACACCGAGTTTGTCAACTGCTGCTGAGCCTGGGGGGAGACCTCAGGAAAGGGCAGCACGATGAGCTGTAAATCGATATCTGGCTGCAAGACGAGATCCTCGAACGCATTGCCGTTGTGCAGAAGCCTCTGCCGGAATCGTGGGACGCCGGTCGTCTTGCACAGGTGCCGCTTCAACATGTTGACGTCGGCCATGTCCTCTGCAGGAAGAGTCGCCACCTCCTGCCCTGACACAGCGCTGAGAACCCGAAGCATGGCTTGCTGCGGCGCCGAGGAAAGGTGATGTGCGTCGGTGCTTGTGGGGTGACATCTTCGACGAAAACTCTTACCCCTACATCCTTCTTGTTCTTGTTGTTGTTGCTGTTGTTGTTGCGGAAGCCCCCAGCTGAATATCACATCGAGAGGGCGGCAGTCTAATGCGGGAAGAAAGCTTGTGAGCCCACAGGAACGCCGTGTGAAGTTAAGCTCCCAAGCAAAAGCCCTAGACCTAAACCCTAAATATAACCCCAGCCCTAGATCCAAACTCGAAACCATCAGCAATGGATTGGGCAGCGTGGCGTTTGGAGCAAGGGCCGAAGGTTTAGGGTTTAGGGCTTAGGGTTTAGGATTCAGGATTTAGGGTTCAGGGTCTGGACCTTACGGTTGAGAATTAGGGGTTTGGGCTTTGGGTTTAGGGTCAGGTCTAGCATTCAAGAGGTCTGGGCCTGGTGCATCTTCATCATACTAAGGCCCATCTCTGCAACACTGAGGGCTTAGGAACTAGGGTTGAAGGGTCTAGGGGTTTAGGTTTAAACTATGGCGCTTAAGCTGTAGGTGAATGATTCAACGGGGACTGGGGGGATTTAGGGATTGATGAGGTGTTGCAGGGTTGAGGCTTGTAGGGTTGAGGGTGTTGGGGTTTTGGGGTTTAAGGGCTTCAGGGCTTAAGGTTTGAGGGTGTTAGGGTTTTGGGGTTTGGGGTTTAGGGGTCTCTCAGTTCCTTGCTGTAACAGTAGCTTGCCTTTGAACTCGGGTTAGGATAACAACCTGTACTACTACTATTATTATTACTACTACTACTACGACGACGACGGCTGCTGCGGAGCAGGGCTTTCATCGTCTGAGCTGGGTTCTGGTGTTCTGCAAAAGCCCTTTCCAATGCCAGATCTGGCACTGGAGACAGCTTTTAATGCAGAATCAGAGCAGCCTGGAATCAGAGCAGCCTGCATTTTCTGTACAGTGGGCTGATGTACCATGTCCTCAAACCGCAATAAACTGGGATCGATTGGCTGGAACACACCGGTCTGGAAATGTCAGCAGCTTCTGTGAATGGTCACCGCCTGGAGTGCTTCGAGATACTTCTTCGGATATCTCTGCAATCTTGCCTGTGCAATGAGGGTGCTGCCGCTGCTCGGAAAGCCAAAGCTGCGCACACTCCGGGCCTTGGGGCTTTCTGGAGATCACAACAGAGGTGCCGCAATATACATTAGGGCGCCCCCAGAATTTACGTTGAGGTCTTATGAGTCTTCTGGTTGGGCTCAGACTTCACGTCCACAACAACTGAGCTCCGGGCTTGAGTGGCATGTCGTGTCGGAGCCGGCATCCACAAGCTTGAAGTCGTTGTAGCAGGATTGATTCTCGAGGTGCAATCTTGCACGCTGCTCTTGGCAATAGAAATCCTGTCCTGGTTCTTTCAGGCAATAGGTGCCACCCACCATGGACATCTGGCGCTGTAGAGAGGGGACAAGCATGTCCGCGCACTCCTTGGTTCGGGAATCTGGAGTTCGCTACAGATAGCCTCAGGAACATAACAAACCTTCCGTGGTCCCACATTTTTCATATTGCAATTGTTGTTTGTTAATTCGCCTTGGCTTCCTGCCGAGAAGCGTCTGGAACGAGCAGACCCGGATCGGGCCTCCTTCCCCCCCAACCCTTCCCCCCATGCAAAACTTTGTGACGGAACCCCCCCACCCCCCGCTCTGTGGCCCACCCCCCCCCCGCGCCCCACCCCCCCCCCCCCCCCCCCCCCCCCCCCCCCCAGCCCCCCCCACACCCCCACCCCATCAACCAAGCACAAACCCTCTTCTTTCCTCCTTTCCTGTCCTGGGGCCGACCCGGCTGCCGAGGCGGCGCGCGCAAGCGTTTACAATTATCCTGTCGTTAAAGCAACATGGTTCACAAAAAATGCCAAAAAGCGTAGTTTCTTGCATGAGGGCCTGCTTTCGGGTCCTTGTTAGAAGAGTGATGTGCTGGTGCAATGCAAATGCGCACCTAATTTGCGCAACTACTGGTGGTTTTCTCGTCATCCGTCGTCATCACCGTTCATGAACCCACATGAATCATATTGCAAATCATGCAGGCCCCTATAAATACTATATCAAACCCAGTAAAGCCTTTACAAAACCCTAGTCTGCCCCAACAAAATCCGTACATGCCCCCATGAGAACCCCCAAAAAGACCTTCAAAAACATGATCACCCCCCCAAAAAACCCTTAAAAACCCACGAAGCTCCACAATAAAATCCCTGACAAAACACCTCCTTAGAAGGGCAATATAAGGATCAGTGTTTTTGGAGGGGTTCTTAAGCAAATTGTAGCCGAGAATCTTCGGGCCCGACGGGCAAGACGCCCAAACCAGCCGCCATGCAGAGGGTGTGAGCGTAGCCTGGGCTTGCGCCAGGTCTAGGGTTGGGGTTCAGGGGTTAAGGGGATAAAGGGGGAGAAGGGGTGAAAGGGGTTTAAGGGGTTTAGGGGGTTTAAGGGGTTTAAGGGCTTGAAGGGGTTCAAGGGGTTCAAGGGGTTGAAGGGGTTTAAGGGGTTTAGGGTGTAGGGTTTAGGGTTTAGGGTTTAGGGTTTAGGGTTTAGGGTTTAGGGTTTAGGGTTTAGGGCTAGGGGGGGGGGCTTAAGATTTGGCGTTGCAGGGGTTTAGGGGTTTAGGGGTTTAGGGGTTTAGGGGTTTAGGGGTTTAGGGGTTTAGGGGGTCAGGGCAGGTTATCGGATCGGCGAAAAGAATTTTGCACCTCCAGTTTGATATGACGCAGGGTTTTTTAGGCAGCCTACATAATCCCGTAAAAGGCGCATATAGGGAGATATAGGCCATTCCCTCGTTCCCTACCAAGAAACAGCCAGTTTTGTAGACATATGAAGTAGGGTGCATATTCCTGGTATCCACAAAAGAACACCCAATATATACACTCATCCATGTTAAAAAGGAACCTTATATACACTCACCAAAAACAGTAGTATAAACCCCGCATCATGTGGGGCTTAGGGATGGGGCTTAGATATGGGGCTACTAAACCCAAAACCCAAAACCCAAAACCTAAAACCCAAAACCCTAAACCCTAAACCCTAACCAACAAGATCAAGGTTTACAAATTCAGCTTCCAAGTCGCAGGTGGCATAAGACGTGAAGAAGTGCCCGTAGTCGAATCCATCACCTGTAGTTTAGGGTGTAGGGTTTAGGGTTTAGGGTTTAGGGTTTGGGGTTTGGGGTTTAGGGTTTAGGGTTTAGGGTTTAGGGTTTAGGGTTTAGGGTTTAGGGTTTAGGGTTTAGGGTTTAGGGTTTAGGGTTTAGGGTTTAGGGTTTAGGGTTTAGGGGTGACTCAACGTCACCCATGGGCGTCATCAGTTCCATCCTGTGAGGCTAGATTCGACTTCCCCTTGGCCCTAGACCTCAAGCGTGTCAGCCTCCAAAACCTTAAGCCCTGATTCCCACATCCTAAAACCCCTAAATCCCAAACATGCAAAACGTTCATCAACTCCCTAAACCCTACACCCTAAACCCGAACCCTAAACCCTAAAACCTAAACCCAACAAAACCCTAAACCCTAAACCCTAGACCCTAGACCCTAAACCCGAAACCCTAAACCCTAAACCCAACAAAACCCGACCCCTGGGTATGCGAGTCGCATTGGCCGCATGCCTCATCCATACTTGCACGGGTGGTTCTTGCACCAGCTTCAAGAGCCTGTAGGGTTCAGGCAATCGGGTTTAAGGTTTCGGGTGTAGGGTTCAGGGTTTAGGGTTTAGGGTCTAGGGTCTAGGGTCTAGGGTCTAGGGTTTAAGGTTTTAAGGTTAGGGTTCAGGGTTTAGGGTTGAGGGTTTAGGTTTAGGGTTTAGGGTTTAGGGTTTAGGGTTTAGGGTTTAGGGTTTAGGGTTTAGGGTTTAGGGTTCAGGGTTTAGGGTTTAGGGTTTAGGGTTTAGGGTTTAGGGTTTAGGGTTTAGGGTTTAGGGTTTAGGGTTTAGGGTTTAGGGTTTATAGGGTTTAGGGTTTAGGGTTTAGGGTTTAGGGTTTAGGGTTTAGGGTTTAGGGTTTAGGGTTTAGGGGTTTAGGGGTTTAGGGGTGTAGGGGTGTAGGGGTGTAGGGGTGTAGGGTTTAGGGTTTAGGGTTTAGGGGTGTAGGGTTTAGGGTTTAGGGTTTGTTTAGGGTTTGGGGGTTTGGGGCTTGAAAAGCTTAGTTTGATTCACCCCTCAATAAGCCCAAAATCCGAGTCGGGTTTAGGCCCACGTGCAGGGCTTTTGTTCAATCCTGTTGAACCCTTCGTCCCCTATCGGTTCCTCCTTATTTCGAGTTGAGCCCGGATGTATACTGTAGGTTTAGAAAGTGATACAAGAGCTTATTTTACAGGAGTTACAATCTTAATATCCTTACCAACTGGTACAAAAATCTTTAATTGGCTTTTTACATATCTTGGAAATCCACCATTATTACACCTTAGAATTAGTTCTGTCTTCTTCTCACATCTCTTTTTTTAATGTTTACTATAGGTGGTTCTACAGGAATAATTCTTGGAAATGCTGCAGTAGATCTAGGATTACATGATACATATTATGTTGTAGCACATTTTCATTTTGTTCTTTCTTTAGGAGCTATAATTTCTATCTTCTCTGGAATAGTTTTTAATGGAGAAAAGATTGTTGGTACTAAGAATTTATTACTTTCATCCTCTAGTACACTTTCTCTTTTTCATCTACATTTAATATTTATTGGTATTCTTTTTACCTTTTCCCCAATGCATTTCTTAGGATTTAATGTTATGCCAAGAAGAATCCCATCCTTTCCAGATTCTTTTAATTCCTGGAATTCCCTGTATCTATTGGATGAGGAATAACTTTCCTATCTTTTGGTTGTTTTACGATTAAGGGGGCTTTTGTAATAATAATATTGTGCCCCCTCAAAATCCTTTGTTTCACTTCGTTCTCTCCATTATTGTATTTCGCGCGTCTTAAATTCCTTGCAAATACAATAATACGGGCTAGTTAATATAAAGCCCGTGCGATATTAATATAATGAATGGGGCGCCTGTCAAATATTAAATGAGCGCCCCACTTCGTTCACATCTTAATTGATTTCACGCGTACGCTTCACTCCTTGTAAATCAATTAATACTGTGAATGGACAAAATCTTGCATGACCATCTACGTTACACGTGTGCGACGGTTGGCAATCGAGCTCCCCGCGCCCCTCGAATTTCAAAAAACCCCAAGCCTCATTGGCCCTTCGAAGGCCCCTTCAACTCCAATCCCTCATCAGTGAGTGGGGGGGGTTGTGGCTCAAGAATGGGATTTAGGGCTTAGGGTTTAGGGTAACCCTAAACCCTAAACCCTAAACCCTAAACCCTAAACCCCAAAGCCTAAACCCTAAACCCTAAACCCTAAACCTTGGGAGCCTTCTGCTTCACGGCTTGCCCGACCGGAGACCGCGCCAGCTCCCCTAGCCAGGTGTACTCGGTAAAGCCCGGACTAGCTAGCTGCTCCAGGACATACCTGCTCTTGAGGGTGGGGGACCTTTGCAAACTAGAGCTCAGCCCTAAACCCTAAACCCTCAACCCAAAACCCAAACCCTAAAACCTTAAAGTTCTTTTTGAAACAAGTCCGCCTCGGCCCCCGGCCGAGAGGCGTCTGGACACCAAGCTGACCCGGATCTGGCCTCCTTGCCCTAAGTCAACCCTTCCTTCCCCCCAGGCTTACTGTTGGTTAGAAGGGAATGAGGGAATGAGGTACCCTATTTCATCCCTTAAAGGATACATATATAATATAATATATATATATATATATATATATATATATTTCTACATATATACAGGGAGGGATTTTGGGTACCGCACCCCTGCCCTGCTAACCAACAGTAAGCAAAGTTTCTGTCGTCCCCCCCCCGGTCCGCCCTGGTTCGCCCTCTGGTCCGGGAAGCCCTTGCAGGAGCTGCAAACCCATGCCGCAACCCGTAGACGGCGCGGGCAATCGTTTGGGTTTAGAGTTTAGGGTTTAGGGTCTAGGGTCTAGGGTTTAGGGTTTCGGGTTTAGGGTTGAAACTAGAAAGACTGCTTTCCTGAAAAAGCCCAGCCACCAAGCTGAGTAATCAACCAAGTGCTCGAATTGGCTGGCCACTTGGCATTTCTGCTCCAAGCTCGCCATCAGTCCCACCACCGAGAAGCACGCCTCCTCTGCCCTCTCTGCTTCCTGCTGGTTGGCAGGTCTGAGGTACCCTATATAATCCCTTAAAGGGTACATATGGGATATAGACTACCTCACCCATTCCCTGCTAACCAACAGAAAGTCTCTGCTTCCTTCAAGCCAGCGCTGTCAAGGAGATTTCCGGAGGCAAGGAGAAGCATGCCGGCCAGCGCTAAAGCAAATGCTGCTGGAACGCCTTGCTGCATGGAGGCCCAAGTTTGCAAAGCTTTCGCAGCAAGTTGGGACCCAGGCCCAGGAGCCCACTGCCGGGTTCTTTCGCCTAAGGTCTAGGGTTTTGGGTTCATGGTTCAGGGTTTAGTTGCAAGGACCCTTGTGGTGTAAGGTTGCAAAGCTTCTTCCAGGAGGGGTAGTGGGTTTTAGGGGGAGGATCCTTGAACCAGTCCAGTTTCGATCAAGCATTCTTACGCGAAGCCCTCACAAGCTTCTCAAGCTGATACCCTGATTATATGGAGACACCCACCGGGCTCCGCAAGTTGTACAGGGTTTAGGGTTTAGGGTTTAGGGTTTAGGGTTTAGGGTTTAGGGTTTAGGGTTTAGGGTTTAGGGTTTAGGGTTTAGGGTTTAGGGTTTAGGGTTTAGGGTTTAGGGTTTAGGGTTTAGGGTTTAGGGTTTAGGGTTTAGGGTCTCGCATGGCACACATATCATCGGCTTCGCAAGTTGTGGCACCGAGCGCTGCTTTTCATGCCGCAACCCGTCGCACGCTGCCAAGACTCCACCTGGGTGCCCACTGATCATGGTGAGGCTTTGGCCTGTGCACCTCAGTTGGGAGCGTCCCTTGATGACGTCAAGGTTTGTCGCGCTGTGGTTTTGGGCAGGCTTACTTGAAAGTCGGGTGAATCGATGCTCCAGCTGCTCAGGGCCTTGGATGCTTTGGATTCTTTGCACTTCTTCACGTAGCCTGCGGCTTTGCCAGCCAGCTTCTCAAGCTCACCTTCCCTGGCCGCCTTCCTCGCTACCTCGTCCTTTCGACGGCCCCCTTTCCGGAGACTCAGACGCTTGCGCCAGCGGCCATCCATGTGGTCCTCGGCATGGAAACACTGCTCATATGCCTGCTTCCTCTGCGAGGAAAGGTTGGGTATGTCCAGCTTCAGCCCATGACCTCCCAGGGCCATGATCACCGCATCATGCCTGCGAAGCATGTCTTCCTGCTCGTGGTCCGAAAGGGTGGCTGAGCGATGGCTGCGGGCGCGCTCCGCTGGCCTCAGCCGCAGGGCCAGGTCGAGCGCCGTCTCACCGGCACGAGTCCTGACATCCACGGAGCGGCCATCTTCCAGCAGCTGCTTGACAAGGCCAAGTCGGCCCAGCATCGCTGCTCTGTGTAAAGCTGTCTTTCCGTTTCCATTCGCCAAGGTGACAGCTGTGAAGCGGCTGTGGCCGAGAAGAACTGCAACAACATCTGCATGGTTCATCTCAACCGCTGTATGCAAGGCCGTGCCGGTGTCCTCCATGTGGCACCGCGAGTACCAATAGAGGTCGAAGGGGTGATAGAGATGGTCATCGTCATGGTCCCTGTCAGTACAACAAAAATTCGAGATAGACTCTGGTAACGTGCCCCATGCATCGGCAGCCGTGAAGGCAGCATGGTCCAGCAGCAGCTTGCAAGTTGCAGCGTCCCCTGAGGCAGCGGCCATGTGCAGCGCGCTACAACCCTCAGAGGTCAAGGCATTGACGTCAACGAGGTCAGCTGCCAGGAACTCCTTGAGGATCTGGGTTTTCTCCAAGCCATGGTTGTGCAACCTGGCCGCAATGTGGAAAGCCGTCTCCGAATCTTCGTTTGTCTCATTCAGGGCTGTGAAGCGCCTGTGCTGAAGGAGCATTGTGACAATCTCAGTGTTGATAGTGTTGCGCCAAAGGCTTGAGGGTAGGGCCGCGTGGAGAGCTGTACCTCGCTCAGAACAATATTCGGGGCCCCGGCGGTTCCAGATGCCGACGTCAAAGTGCGCGTCGCTTTCTGTAAAGGCCGGGTCATCAAGCAGGCCCTTGCACACGCTGGTAAGGCCACGCAAGACGGCATGGTGTAAAGCAGTACCCAAAACCTCATAGCTCCTATCTTCCACTCCCTCCTCATCCACAAGGGGCATGAAAAACTGTGTGTTGCAGTCGATTCTCGTCCGGGAAGGGTTGTCGAATTGGCGTTCGTCAAAGCTGTAGTCGCCGTCGTTGCTGTCGTTGCTGTCGTTGCTGTCGTTGCTGTCGTTGCTGTCCCTGCGCCGCGGGCGAGACTGACCATCCTGCTCCAAAGCAACAACGCCGCGCGTCAGGTCGTAAATGGCACTCGGGCCCCAAGTCAATTCATGCCGATTCCGGAACAGGAAGTTCAAGAAAGGCTTGATCCCTGGAAAAGGTGGGGGAACCTTTCGGAAAGCCAGCACTCGGCATGGCGAGCGATCTGCGAGCGCCATGCGCTGGGCGCAGTCGAGGAGCGCGTCGACCTGGCGAAGGTGCTCCAGCCCTCCCTGCAAGCTGCCATCATCGCTTGCTTCTGTCGTCGCCTTGTCTTGTACTTCCTGCACGCCTTCGAGCACAAGGCGCAATGACAAGGCCGAAGTTTTTAAAAGGTCCTCCAGTTCTCGCCTCAGGTCGGCCGGGCGGGAGTCGCCCTGCACTTCCAAGGTGCCCAGGTCGATGCCCGACAGGGCCCAGGCAAACTCCACGTGACCCTTGGCCGCCAGATGATCCATGACTTGGTCCAGAATCAAAACGAGGAAGTTGACCACCGTCTTAAGCACGCCTCCGGGGCAAGTCATGAGAATCTTTGTGGCTAGCTATGCTAGATAGTATACGGTACAGTATACTGGATAGTATACTAGATTGTATACTGCATATAATTATATATATATATATATTCTTTCCTACTATACTCTATTCATTTGTCAGACGCCACGCTACTGCGGCGCAGCTCAGGGGAAGCTTCGAAACTTGAAGACATTTCACGAAGCCAGTGGAGTATACTATACTATATCGTGCAGTTAGTATGCTATACTATATGGTATACTATATCGTAGACTATACTGTATAGCATAGCCAGTATACAATAGTATCATATCGTATATAGTGAACAAACTGCAACCCTCTATTGTGTAAACCCGGTTTAAAGCAGCTCCAGCGTTGAACAACTTCGGTCATATGTCGCACGCAAGATGCGCAGGATCGTGCATCTATAATAGCACACAGAATGTCATGTATAGTATATTGTATACTGTTGATACTATGTAGAAATGCACTGGTGTTATGGGCATATGATGCGCTTCCCTGTTGCCCAAGGTGCGGGTGAAGAGGTCCCTGCAGCGCTCCCGTCTAGTGTACACGATCTCCTGCAAAACTATGGTATACCTGCGTGTAGTACCAAGGCGAGAATACCAGAGGGTATACTGCAATTAGAGATTCCTGTAGAGTATGGGTAAGTATACTTGAGTGTAGTACAAAGGCTAGAATCTCGGCTAGAATACCGGGGTATACTGCAATTCGAGATTGCAGAGACCTGTACTGACCAGAGTTTAACAACTTCGCATAACTCCTCCCCCACCCCGCCTCGCGGAGCCCGGCGGCTTCCATGTCTTGGCTCGAGCCAAGAAGGAGAAAAGAACGGACGAGTCGATATGGATGCAAAGCATCAACTCACAGGTAAGGGTACGCGGAATGCGAAGCACGCGCACTTCTACGGAATCTACAGAGGGTATATGTTGCATGCAAAAGTACTCTGCGATTCGAAACTGCATATGATTAAATATCTGTACCCGGCAGACGACTGATCCTGTGGCGGTAAAGTGAAAGCCAATACATGAGCTGCTGAACCCTAAACCCTGCACGCACTCCTGCTCGCACTACCCCGAGCATGATCTATGAAGCACCCTGGACCCTGAACCCTTAACCCGCAACCTTCCAAGCCCTAAACCCTCAACCCTAAACCCTGAACCTCGCGAGCGGACCACGTCCCATCCTTGCCCAAAAAGAATCTTGCAAGCTTCGAGTTTCAGCACAGAAGTTGTTCAACGATGTCATGCACACTTGCAAGAAACCCCAAACCATAAAACCCTTCTCCATTTTGGCGCTGCCTTGCAGCTCAAGGTTTAAGCAGGGTTTAGGGTTGAAAGGTAAAAAAAGTTATGTAGAGTTTATGAAGGGGGCGAACGTCGTTATTGACTGGGGTTGAGGGTTTTGCCGCAGTGCGCAGGGTTTCTGGGACGGCTTTTTGAAGGGAAGCGCGGGCTCAGATGCTTCAGCACATTAAAGCAAGTGATACGTGAAGTGGATGCCAGTATGTCAGGGCACCTCCTACCGTGCCAGAGGTCGTGGCAGCTTCTGCCTTGTCTTCTCAGCTCTCAAACCTCCACCAACGAAAGAGGACAAACCAGTCCACAAGTCGTGGGGTCCGCTCTATACCTCTACAACTGCTTCAAGCAGTAGACGTCCAAGTCCGACAAGTTATAGGCACTCAAGTCGTCGCAAAGCTCTGCTTTCTCCGCCGGGGAGGTCACGATCTTGGTAACCTCCCAAAACGAGTTGTAGCTCACGAGCACTTCCTTCTCTTCCACGAACTCGCTGATTGCTTCCACTCTCCTACCGGACTTCACCTCCAGCACGAACAGGGTCCCCGACAGCTTCCTGGACTCACACTGGAGGAAGCTGATGGCCGCGAGCTGGTCCCGGGTCGTGGAGGTGAAGGCCTGCCAGGTGATCTTCTTGCCGACTTCGTACAAGCCACTCTTGAAGAAGATGCTTGTGCCACGGTAGGCCGCCCCTGCATACGCCGGCAAGAGGGCGAGGGCCTCGGTGAGATGGTAGATGTAGTCCAGGTAGACCTTCAGCCTCCTCTCATCCTGGGGATCTTGGGAGCGCATCGAGGCGTTGAGCTTCATGTAGAGGCACGGGTCCTCCTTTGGGGGGGGGGGGGGGGGGGGGGGGGGGGGGGGGGGGGGGGGGGGGGGTGGTGGGGGGGGGGGGGGGGGGGGGGGGGGGGGGGGGGGGGGGGGGGGGGGGGGGGGGGGGGAGGGCCAGGGAACATCGCAGAAACCTGTTCGGTTAAGAAGCAAGACAGAGCAACACGGAAAGCCCTTGCAGTTTCGGGCGAGGGCGAGCGATTGCAAGGCAACCTATGAACTAAAATGCCGCGCGCGTCCTCTTGTGTGTACGCCAAGACGGCCGCTGAATGCTCCATGCTCATGTAGCCCATGCCCATCTCTCGCAACTCTTCTGCAATTGCACTTGCCCTCTGCATCACGGAGCCGCACTGCAACCTAGCACACAAAAACCTCAAACCCCGACCTTGACACCTGTTGATAATAATTATGTGTAACGGCAGGCCAAAGTTTGAGCCTTGTGGCGGGCTGTAGCCCAAGGTCTGGATCGACTCCGCGACAGCTTTGCTGGGCACCCAACCTGCTGGGAAGAAGTCGCGGCGCCCTGCATCAACACTTTCGAGGCCGTCCGCCCAACGCTGGTGCGACCTCCGACCGCGTGGTGCAGAACTCGCCGTGGGCCGCGGCAATGGCACGAAAGACGCTTGGGGGGCGACCATGGAAGCTTCGGCTGCGTTCGGCGTCCAACTGGCCCGCACCTCGATTCCGTGCGCGCCCTTCCCAAGCAGCTTGTGACCAGAAGGGCCTAGGGTGGGGCTCTTGTAATAAACCCTCTGAAAAGAGGCTCCTCCCCATTTCAAGAGAGAATGTACAACAGAAATCCCAAGGCCCACCTAGAGGCCATTCGTCACAGCAAGGAGCTGTGAGCTGCTGTACCGGCACTTCGTTGCGCTACACGTGGGGAGATGGAAGCGCTTCAGTTGCGCTTCCAGCAACGGCGCAAGCACTTCGCAATCGACATCCCAAGCTACGCCTGGTTCCACTAGCTCGGTCGCCCTTGCTTCTTGGACTATTGTCCAGTTTGGCCCTGTCCAAATTTGCATGGATGTCTCTTCTTTGCCTTCGCGTGCAGCATCTCGGCACAAGTGCACGAACTCGCCCGACTTCTGCTGCAGCCAACTCTTGACATTCTTCGCCCCCACGCGTGTGATCGCGGTCTCCTCCTGAAGCTCTGAGAGCAGCTGCTTCGTCATCGGCTCTGGGGCCCACGAAACCCAAAACACGACTGCGCTGCGCTCGAGGAGGCCGACATTGTAAAAATCACACGAGCACGAGTTGCCATTAAAGTCAAAGTGATAATTATGGTTGAGTTGAACTTGAATATGAAAGCGGGTAAACCCCAATGATCGAAGACAATGATCCAGCATCTCCGCCGTGGAAGAACCGGAGAACTGCCAGCCTCGGAGTCCTGTGGTTCTGATAACCCCTTCACCCTTATGCGATAGAACCGCCACACCCTCCGCACCCCGTCCTAAGAAGAATAAAGTCCAGCAGGAAACAACTTAAATATTTGAGGTCGTCTGCTTGCGAACAACACAGTGCGCTTCACATAAATACCGGACCACTGCACAGTGGCCGGATGTAAAGATTCTCGGTCTCTTATTTCTGACAGCACACGTCCTTCGAGGTTGTGTGATGCTTTTACCTCTCGGTCATTCCCTTCGCCAATCCAACCATGGCAGCATTCGAAGCCAGCGTCAGCAGCCGAGTATAACACACTCTTCAACCACTGCAGCAGCTGTTCGTTGGCCGTACAACCGGCCGCAGAACTGCGACTTCGAAGCTCTTGCAACATCTTTCACTCGCTGAGCGCTACAAAGCTGCAGACGAACATCGACAAGTCTTCAACATGTACAACGACTTGCAGAATCTGGATTTGACCTCACGCCAACTCCCTGCCCTTGAGCGCTGTAGGTTTGGCCGTTCGGCCCTGTTCTAAATTGACCTTTTCACGGCAACGGACCCTGCTGCCACGAGACAAATCCGTGTGGGAAAACCCGGGTGACAAGAATCCGCCGAGGCCTCGGGCCGAAGGTGTATAGGTAGTCAGAACAGGCACCCCCTCCAAATCCTCCCCCCAAGCCCAAAGCCCTTTTTCGGACCCCTTTTTTTGCCTCAAATGGGTACCCCCCCTAGGTGAGCAGGGTCCGCAAGCGGATGGTGCGCCAGGACCAGAGGCAGTCAGCAGGGCCCCCCACCCACCCCCCCCCCTACCCCCCCCCCCCCTTCCCCCCCCCCTTCCCCCCTACACCCCCCTCCCCCCCCCCTTTCCCCCCCCCCCCCCCAAACCCCCCCCCTCACCCCCCCCCCCCCCACCCTCCCCCCCCGCCCCTGCCACCACCCTTACCCACCCCCCCCGCCTCCCCCCCTAACCCCCCCCCTACCCCCCCCTTTTCCCACAAAAGCCACACACCCAATGGTTCATAACCTAAAGGTGTCGCTTTTCAAGTGTTCCCATCGTTTTACAGGGTTTTGGGCATTCGTGTCCACCCCTTGCTTAATTGAATGGCTGGGGGTTTTGGCGCTTGCTCACATTAGGTGTTTGTGAAAGGCGGAGTTTTCCTGCTCCGACGCGCTGGCTTGAGGGCCGGAGGCTCAACTGGTGTGAGCACGGCCGCAAATCCGCCGAGGCCTCGGGCCGGAGGTGTATAGGTTCCAAATCCTCCCACACCCAAAGCCCTTTTTCGTTGCCTCAAATGGGTGCGGTGTCAGACTGGAATCAGTTCGGTGCTGCTGCTCATTGGGTGCAGTCGTGTTATCGCCAACTCCTTTCTCTGCAAGGTTGACCTCTGCTTGCTGACATGTCTGATGAAGCTCTGCCGGATATTGAGGGGGATGATTTTTCGGTAGGCCATGTCAGCGAAGATGATGGACCGCCAGTCCTTCCGATTGCTCACCTCGAAGTGCCCCCTTTTGGGTCTTGCGTGCAGTCCTCCGGGCCGTTGTTGGTGTTGCAGAGGCCGTCGGATGCGGAAGCTGATGCCCTAGATTGGGGAGATGAAAGCTCCCCTGTCTCGGCTGCTGAAGACTTTGCCCTACCCCCTACCCCCCACCCCCCACCCCCTACCCCCTACCCCCTACCCCCTACCCCCTACCCCCTACCCCTTGGAAGCCCTACCCCCCCACCCCCCCTGGGAAACCGGGGTCCGCAAGTGGACGGAGAGGCAGAAGAAGCCCCTCGCAGCAGGGCCCCCCGCCGTTGTCACCCACACCCCGCCGTTGTCACCCACACCCCCCCCACCCCCCCCCCCCCCCCACACCCCCCCTCCCCACCCCCCCTCCCAACCCCTCCCCCCCCACCCCACCCCCCCCCCCCAACACCCCCCCCAACCCCCCCCCCACCGTCGCCTTAAACCGTAATGGGCCTGGCTCAACCCATACGATCACCCAAGCCTGTGACCCTAAACCCAAAAAAACCCCACCCCAAAGCGTGAACCGTGAGCTAAACCTAACCCTCAATCCCAAACAGCCAACCCATAACCATAAACCCGGAACCCTCAACCCTCACCCTCCCCAACCCTTTTGCTGTGTCCGCGAACTTGTGCGCTGCGGCCACGCGGAGCGCTGTCCGGGCCGAGGCGGGTCCGCGTAGGTTAAAAATTACTGTTGGTCAGCCGGGAATGAGGGAATGAGGTACCCTATATAACCCCTATAAGTTAAGGGTATATACAAGGCCCCAACGCCCTCATTCCCCTGCTAACCAACAGTAAGCAGAATGGGGAAGTGCAGCCCATGATGTTGTGAGCTAATGTCTTCGTGAAGTGTGTGAAAGAGCCATGTTTTTCGCAAACATGGCTCCCATCTTGCATTGAAATTCTGATGTTAGCCCAGCATGATGGCTCTCTTTGGTCCTTTAACGTTTAAACTAACAAATTCAATACAGCTATCAGGACCAGCACCATGTGAGCCGTGCTTTGTGGGTGGCTTCGCGGCTATCAATGTTGTACTCCCCGGCATTCCCGCCGTCTAACAATTGATTTCAAAAGGGCTTTATGCTTTACGAAGGGGGACCTGATTACATGGGACTTCGCTCTCCCTTGCGTGCAGGGGCTTGGTTGGGCCGAATTGTGTACTGCCTTCCCGCCCCCCCACCCCCGCCCCCCTAACTGCCTCCAGTGTTTCTCGTTTGGGCATCTTGGGACATCAACAAAGGCAAAGGAAACAAACCGGTTCTGGAGAAAAAGAGGCCGCCCGTCTCTTTGTGACAAAAGCTATGCTGCTTACCGTCAGGAACCGCGAGCCGAACTGCACGAACCGGTCAAAAAAACGGAGCCGTGTGAACCGAACCGTTGGTTCAAAAAACAAACCCAAACCGAACCGTCACATCGTGTTACGTTGCGTCATTTAAAGTAGCGGATGCGCTTGCTACACCCTGGGCGGGTGGCCACATGGCGAGTGTGTGTGCTATACTCCCCTTGGAACCTTAATAAAAATACTACTTTTAATATCCTCTTGGGTGTATTATCAAAATAAACAATAATTCACAAGGGGAATATAGTGATAGGGCTGCTGGACTTGTGGATGCAAGGCTGCCGGAAACGTCTCAAGATCACAAGGCCTCTCTTCTTGCTGCCCTTCTGGATTTGGCGCACAGCCTGTCTAAAAACCCGATCCCTTGCCACCCCCCCCTCCCATCTTGTGTTTATCTAGAGGAGCCTCGGTGCAAGACTCTTGGGCTGAGATGGGGCCTACAGGTTCAGTGGTTGGCCCCCAGGTTCACGTCAACTCCAGGGCTCTCTGGGGAAACTTGCCTTCGAGCGGCTTCGAACTTCCATTCTCTCGAGAAAGACCCTGCTGGGAATGGAGCGCGACAGCGTCAGCAGCCTGCCTATCCTGCATCCTGCATCCTTTCAGTAGGGTTTGGGGGTTTTAGGGAGCGGAAGGGGCGTACAGGCCGTATAGGCCTCGAGATTGAAGAAGCCTGCTGCTGATCGGACACCCCATGATGTCTACTCATGGGACTTTCTGCTGTTTCTTGCTGTCTACGAAAGAACCTAGCAGCCTCGGCTGCATGGTGGCGAGTGCTTCCCACACCCAGCTCAAACCCCCCAACTCACGCACCCCAGGCCTGCAATGCCCTCAGAGTCACAGCAGATTGCGGAACGCCGCAGACTCAGGGGGCTCTTTCAAAGGCCTGCCAAAGCGGTCAACCGTCCGAAATGTTCACAAACTCTGAATGGGTGACTGAAGGATCCACGGCGAATAGGGCATCTCCCAAAATGCAAAAGAGGGGTACCCCCTTTGAGAATCGAGTAGATTAGAATCCCCCTAAAGGGACCCCCAACAAGGGCATCGTCGCCGCTGCGAGGGCTCTTACTGGCCGGGGGGGTTTGGGGGCCAGGCCTAGAGGGTCGAGATCGCAGCTTGGACAGCGTCCTCCAAGAACAGGAAAGGCCTCAGAGATTTGGTGCAGCCCTCTTGGACACGAATTAGTTTTGTCATGTGCTCTCATCGTTGCGGTGGCCTTAAACACTGCGACTGAAGGGAGAACAAGCCGCCACCCTCTGCCATCTACCTGGCCTTCGATTCCCTCAAGCCTGTGGGCAGAGAGACCGCTAGAGCCCTTGAAGGAGGCCCAAAACTGCCCCCAAAACTGCGTGTTTAGTGGGAGTTGGAGGGTGACGGGACGTGTCGGGCCATGGTAGAGAATTTACCATCATGCGAATCATGCGCCGTTGGGTGCCGAGGCGCAGTGCAAGAAGACGTGTGAGTTTGGCCAGGCGCGGTCTCCATGCGCGAGGTCTGTTTTGGGGTTCAAGGCTTGTTGGGCAAACGGACCAGAGTGCTTCAAAGGAGCCAGAAGCGTGGAGGACCAGCCGAGGCGAACGTCGACCTCCACCTTTGCAGAAAATAGTGTCGGCAGTGCATGACAGGCGTACGTCAGCTCACCACATCCTCAGAAGACTTCAACTTGCGCCCTAGCGGGGAGCATCATATCAAATTATCAAATGCTGTACACAAATGCCCAATGCATGGGCTTCCTGAAAGCAGGAGGAACCTTGCGCTATGGGAAGCGGCAGCTGTACACAGGCTGTACACTGTACATTACAACGCGAGGTGCGCTCACACTCTGCCGCTTGCGCGCCGCGTGCCGGGCCAGGAAGGCCTGCGGCGAGCGCCGGGGAACGCGCCTGCGCACGAGCCGCGTCCGCGGCCCCGGGCCTTTCGGCTTCTTTTCGGGTTCCGGTTCCAGGCGGTGCTTCTTGGAAGTCGCAAAGGTGGGTCTTGGCACACTTGCAGTGGTGGCATCCCCACTGCCAATGCATGCCTCGAACAAAGGTGAGACCATGTCCTCCTGAAAGAAGATACGCGCACTGCATGTGTAGTTCACCAGCTGCGAAGTGTCTGCTCCATCCTTTCGTGCCTTTGGGTCCAGAACCCCGCAGACCAGTACAGGCCTAGACAAGCCGCGGGAATAGCTCCAGGACAGGCCTGCACTTTGGGTGTAGGCTGTGTAGATTCCCACGCCATGTACCGATCCATTCACGACCTTTATTCCTGACTCGCCGGGGATGAGTAGACCACGAGAGTAGATGGACAGGAGATTCGTCTCGTTCGTTCCATGAAGCGCCGGCTGCAGCTCGCCCGCAACAGCACGATCGCAGGCCTGGAGGAACCTGTCCTTCGCAAGGGGGGTCGGCTGGCTCTGCCCTCCCCTCGGCCCCTCGCCCCCTCCCCTCCCTCCCCTTCCGCCTCCCTCTCTTCTTCTTCTCCTTCTTCTCCTTCTTCTCCTTCTTCTCCTTCTTCTGCAGGGCCTTCCTCAAGCGCGAGCGCCGGGTTTCGAGGCGTCTCGTGACATTCTGGTCGAAATGGCGGGGGCCTCCTCTCCCTCTCTCCCTCTCTCCCTCTCCCTCTCTCACTCTCTCACTCTCTCACTCTCTCACTCTCTCACTCTCTCACTCTCTCACACCCACACATGCCCTCTGCTTCACTAACACGACTGCGAAGGCAAGCGTGACATCCCTCTATTCTGTGACGGGGTCCTCCACGGCGGGAGCGAGAGGTGTTGGCTTCAACTGCCACTGCCTGCCAGTGCCGAGGTAGCAGCCGGAGAGTGGCTGGCAGATGGCATGGGCGTGGTCCTTCAGAAACTGCCAGCGAAGCTTCTCGAAAGGAGTGAGAGGCTCGGTCTGATCGTGGCACAGCCTGACTTGGTACAATCTGCTCAGCTCGTCTGCCAGCCTCTCGATCTCGCTCTTCTTCTCAGGCACCAGGCGCTGGCGTCTCCGTCGACCTTCCCTCTCCAGCTGCGCTGCAAGCTGCATGGTGTCCGCGTACTCCCGGGCCCGGAGCTCCGCCCGCCGGAGGGCCGCGAGCCACGGTGAAAGCGAGGGCGCGACTGTCCCGAATGTCCCGGTTGCGTCGGCCACGGAGGAGCGCGACGGGCTCGATGGGGCCCGTGCGGAGGCCGCGAAGTCGGCGACACCGGAGGCGGGCTCGGAGCCACCCGCCGTGGTGGACGTGCACACAGAGGCCACCTCGAGGTCCTCCCACTTCGCCGCCCACTTGTCCATCTCTTCCATCTCCTTCATCTGCTTCCTCTCTTCTTCCTCCAAGTCTTCCTCCAAGTCCTCGAAGGCGCACTCAGCCTCCATTGCGGCCTCGTAGATCTCGTTGATTGCCTGGTGCATCTGCTGCCTCAACTTGTACCGGCGGGTACGGACGCGCAACTCCTGGTCCCATGAGTGGCGGCCTCCAGAATGGACACTGCGCTTGGTGACGGAGCGCCCCAGTCCCACCTGCGACGGAGAGCGCGAATGCAGCTTGAGCTTCCAGTGTTGAAGAGTGTTGAAGAGTGTTGACTAGTGTTGATTAGTGTTGACTAGTGTTGACCAGCGTTGACCAGTGTGGACGAAAGCAGACTAGTGTTGGCTAGATCAAGTTCTGTGCAAGAGCAGGCAACCCCTGCAACAGTGCCACTACCGGTACATCACCACATCTTGATAGATGATCACCAATTCCTGTACTTGAGCTGTTTGCAAGGCCTCGTACTGCTCGCCCGCTTTGCCGGACTTCTTCGCCTTACGGCAGCTGGCAGCCTCCACTCGCTTGCGGTGCCCACGCTTCATAGACCAGCCGCGCAACGGGATGTCCTCCTCTAAGCCGAAACCGTCAAGCCCTAGATCCATGGCGATGGGCATAAACGGCACGAAGATGCAGGAAGCCACTGAGCAGCACAAAAGCGGCTTGGACTATGAACAGCGATGCCTGAAGCCAGTCTTGCTGCAAGTGATTATGGGTAGCACTTTTTCGAGGCACTTCTCGAAAAGCCCATGCCTTGGGCACAGAGAGCCCCCCATGACTTCCCAACGTCAAAC